ATGTATTCTACGTTTAGATACAAGCAAATGTGTGTTTAAATCGAAGTATATCTCCTGCCTTTAAGCTAAAACCAGCTCTACATTAAAAAAACAAACCTCCATCAAACTATGGATGATGTTGCAGGCACTTATAGTTATTCATATCTTTCTTTAAACTTGCAGCCAAAATCTATAAGCTTTGAGCACATTACCAAACATCTCAAACGTTTCAAACCCAACACCACACCACCCTGTTTCACAAGCAACTTTTCCACAGCTCTCGCTCACACTGCATATGGAGGCACCATCTGACACATATGCTGGCCAGGCAGAAGAGGAGCGGCGTGGTAATGACTGGATGTTCATTCACGCCTTGCTCTGAACAAGATATTCCCCCCACAGCACAAGAAAATGTATATGTAGTGTTGTTTCAGAAAGAGAAGGGCGCTTCATGACCCGCAAAGAAACGTGGAGATTGCTTCTTCTACTTGAGTGTTTTTGATATATTTTTAAAAGCAATCTCATTTTAGTACCTTCCTCCCCACACATGAGCCTCCACAAACTGCTAATAAGCTGTTTAGCCGGAGAGAAAATAACCTTTTCATTTTGGTTCGCTTCGCAATTTCCGTCTCCAGATAAAGCCTGAGGCGTCCGATGAAGTTGTGCATGAGAGAAGCGAAGAGATATTTTCAGATAAATGTAGTGGAGGCTTTTGAGTGTTAACTTCTTTATTTCCTTGCAAACATAACGTCACACAAAATTGATATGTTTTACGAGTACCCACAAGGCAAGAGATATCTGGCAAAGTGGGAAAAAAAACAATTTCTGAAGAAGATGGAGCCCATTTACTTTGAAAGCTCATGGGAGACACTTGAGATGATTAAAAAATAAGTGTTCATATGTGCACAGATACGGGTATAGAGACATGCAGACCTGTGCACACCCACACTCGAGACTTTGCAAATAAGTGAGTCATGCAAAGACATCAGTGTCAACCTCGTTCCTCCTCTCCATTCATCTTTGCGTCTCCTGTGACATTTTCTCAGACAACCTAGGAACGCATGTACACCTAATCCACCCACACGACTTCAAATGTGTACCTACGGCAAAGAAAAACGTATAAGGAGTGACATTTTCAGGCGAATAAAATGTCTGTTTTTGCCAAATTCAAACATGAAGTGATGGTTAGTCATTTTGGAATAACAACACAACCCCTCTGATTAAAAAAAGAATCCGTAAACACAAATTTCCGTCAGTGAAACAAAGCAGCCATCCACTCTAATGAACCCAGACCTCTCTAAATATACACCGTGACACGAGGTTTTTATATCTTGGGGCTTCTCTTTTCATTTATTCCACCATAGGAGCGATGACATGCCGGCTTCCCACCGGCGGTGCCGACAGCCTGCAGAAAGCTTCATCCGTCACAGAAAGTTTTAATAAAAAGAAACTCACCCATGGTGCAGTAGATATTGGTAAAGTTTTCAGATTTTGACAATTTTCAAAGTCAAACAGTAATGGGATTCCTCCTCACTTCCAGGACGTTTAACCTCTAATGATTCTACTGGTCACGGCTTTTCATTTTTCAAAGGACGATCAAACCTTTTGTGGACGTATTTGTCGAAATGTTTTTTGGGTTTCAATCTTTTTGTGGGTGTTTCCCCTAGCGTGTGGTTGACATCTTATAGCCGGTGTTGACAGGAGAAAAACACTTTTTCGTATCATATCGTCTCCTAAATTGTGATTTGTACGCCTGGTATCGGTAGAAAAAACACAGCCTCAGTCTCTGCAGATAAAGACTCCACTTCACACACTTCTTTGGTCATGATCGATGATTGAGAGAGATTACAGGGTATATGCAGGAATCCTGAAGTCACATGTAATTCCTTTTAAGACCTTTGTTAAGACCCTTTCCATACATTTTAAGACCTCATCGCCACTTGGAGTTCTAACCGGTTACCTTGGCGACACACTTTACCTCACATTGACTATATACAGTATTGATTGTCCTTCCTCCTTATCTTCCAACCATTTGTGTTATTTTTGGATCTTCAAGTATTTTTGGATCTTTAAGTATTTTTGGAACTTTAAGTATTTTTGGAATTAACGGTATTTTTGGAACTTTAAGTATTTTTTGATGTTTAAGTATTTTTGGAACTTTAAGTATTTTTGGAATTTACGGTATTTTTGGAACTTTAAGTATTTTTGGATCTTTAAGTATATTTGGAATTAACGGTATTTTTGGAACTTTAAGTATTTTTGGACCTTTGGACCCTTTCCATACATTTTAAGACCTCATCGCCACTTGGAGTTTTAACCGGTTACCTTGGTGACACACTTTACCTCACATTGACTATATACGGTATTGATTGTCCTTCCTCCTTATCTTCCAACCATTTGGACGCAGACTTGCATTTCCCCATAACGATGTTTTTTAACTCTTTAAGATATTTTTTGGAACTTTAAGGTATTTTTG